ATGACTGTGGGTTTCGAAAATAGAATGGCGAATATATTTCAGACGAGAGATTCGTTTTGGTCGTACTCTTTCAATTGTCGAGCGATGACTGATCTCGATCGATATTCATTCGCATGGGTTTTCATCTAACTGAGTCAATTTTGAAAAAATGCATTTACAGCTTCGTTATTGAAGCAATCGAATGGGGCGTAAATGAAAGCATTTGCTAACGAGGAAAAAAAGAACGGACCACTAGGAAAGGCACTATTAAGACATGAAGTGGACAATCAGTAGTGGACACTTTTTATTGAAAACTTCATTTTACGAGTAACTTTACTCTCCTCGACAACGCTCCATGCCAAATGACAATTGATTTGTGCATCCGCTTTTGGCTCTGGATGCCAGCAATCAGCCAGATCCCGGCATGAATGGAAATTTAAAAGCCATAAATCTTGGCGATTTTATATCATCTGTAACTATGGTAGCCGCAGAGTGGCAATCAACTTAAATGGCAAGAGGCAGGAATCTTTTCTCTCCAATAGTGTTGCTAGCTCAGCTTTTTCTAGCACAATTTTTATATATTTTGTTGGATTTTATGAATAACGGATCAAAACTACAGCTGTCTGCAGTTAAAACGTTTTAGTTTTTTTTTTTTTTAAGAAATGGTATTTTTGGTATAATCGACTAGCATTAAAATCTAAACATTATTTGGGCAAAGTGCTGGTCTGCTTCCCCTAATTAACAAATTTGTATATTTTTTTTTATCTTTTTTAAGTAGTTGCTATCTTGGGATCTCAAGCGATCGATCTCCCATCCTCCTCGCACTCTGACAGACCCTCCCTTTCGCACACTGCTAATTCCAGCACGTGTCTATGACGAAATGTGTTCGGGAAATGCCTGCTTCTTGGCTTTTTGATGCTTCGGTTCCATTCCTCTTGCTCCTCCACCTGTCAGTTGTCAGCGGCGGCTTTGCAGCTTAAATAATAACAGGAGGAGCAACGAGAGAATTATGGGGATTGTTCCACATTGTCAACGGCCTCAACACCTTGGAGCTGCGACAAAGGAGCAGGGGACTTCAGCCCAACATAAGCATTATTTCGGAGTGCGTCAGCCTGTGTGTGTGTGTGATGTATTTATTTTTAAAAACACCAAACAACAAAATATACATTTTAAACAAATTTTTTTCAAATAAAATATTATTTGTTTGTTTTTAATTTTCTAGTCCTCTGCATAATTTCAGTTTTTCTGTAAGAAAACAACGGACACAGTTAAATTTCTTGGAATTTAAAGTACTCTTTTAAATTTATTTAAATAGTAACAAACAAATTTTAATAATAAAATAAACAGTAACGAATTATTGCCTCCCCTTAAACTGAAATATTTTTAAATAAATCTTCATATAGAACAACAGTTCCAGAGTCTTGTTCGAATAATCAAAATAATGTAGTCTTTACTAAATAATGATTTTTCTTAAGAAATGTGTATTCCATCAAAGTTGGTTTGAAATACAATGTTTATTTATTTACGTTTAAAGTTTAGGATTAATTTTTATTAATACTACATTTCTCGACAGATATTCGGACTGTATTATTACTTAATAGTTGACTTTAATTGTATTTTTGTTTGATATTATTAAACACATTTTTGAACGAATGTTTAAAACAATGCCATGTGTAAATATAACCAACCTTTAGCTCGAGCTTCTGTAACCTATGAACCATTTAACTTTTAATTTAACGAGTGAACATTTTGTCAACTGATATTTAAATGTATTTTTCTTTGGCTGGCCAGTGTAACAATCGTGCTCGGCTGGCTCATTGTTGACAATGTCGTTTGTCGCTGATATCTGGACGGCAGGTGCAAACGGGCGCATTGCTGGAATAGCCTTTTAATTGTCTCCTCGCCTCGCAGCTCCTGATGGCCTAAACTTCTGGAGAATCGGACGGAATGGTTCTCCAGCGGCACCAGAATGGGAAACTGCGGATCAACTGGCTTTTGGTTAATCTTCTGGGGCTCTTGCCGAAGGCTTTTCATCTGATTTGTGCCTGTCAGCTCGATTGAGTGTCAAGGAGATTGAGTGTTGTCGCAGCCTAAAGAAATAAACACGAAATATATATCAAGTGCGGAAGCCGCCCAATTTGATACTCTTTATTAAAGGTAAAAATAAATTTTCAAAACAAATAAATAACTCAAGCGAATATATAATAATTAGAACTAATTATTGGTTTTTAATAATTTTTTTTACTCACTTAAGGGTGGGCTTTAAAGTAAGGATTGCTTGTTATAGCGACTTATTCGAAGGGTATTTGAACATTAGAAAACAGCATGAAAAGTGCAAGTTGTGTAAATGAAAACGTGACAAGTTTTCCCGCTTTTCTTGCTTTCATTTCCCCGTTTTTGCGACGGCTGCTGACAAGTTCGGAGGGGCTTGTTATTTTTAAAGAAAACAACATCGAAAGTATTCCATTCCGAACCCGAGTCACTCCATTTCCAATTCCTCTGCCCGACGGAAGATTTGCGTTGGCCTATTTATAGACTCCCATCGAGACGTTTGGACCGTTTTCACAGTTGGTTTCATTCACTGCCCCCCAAAAACTCCATCCTCGGACCAATTGGAAAACCAATCTTCTTTGCGTGCACAGAAAACCATTTTTATATACTCTCAGAATGAATCTTAGCCATGCTAAAGTTTCTAGGAACTTTAATAAAATTAAGTGCTGGTTTTTTAAACACATTTTCCTTGCTCAGTTATCATTTCATTATTTATAGCCAGTGCTGATAACTTTTTTGTATTACAATGGAAGAGATAATATCAGTATAATGCACAATTGTATCAATTAAATTATAAAAGTATAAAAATCAAAAAAAAAAAAAATTATATATGTATCTATAAAGTTTAAGCTTTGTTCTAGTAATAATTACTGCTGTTTAAGAGCGCCTTAAAAAACTTGTATTAATACTCGTTTTTAAAAACATTAAATATATGATCGATTTTTTTTTAAGTGTGGGAAGTCGCTCATTTCATCCGATTTCATTCTCTATTTGTTTGGATTGGACTGGTGCAGACACGAACATTAACATCCACATAGCTACAGCATTTTCCCACTTAATTGCAACGTGAAGTGCAGAAATAGCAGACAAACACGGGTTCTGGAGGACGATGACTGGGAGGGGCTGGGACTGGAAATTCCGGGGATTCATCGCAATGCTGAGCGTGCTTGGGATCGGAATCGGGATCAGTTTGATTCATCTGTCCAACTGCAATCCATCTTCCCAACGATCTCTATTTTTTTATACCCATCCTCGCATTTGTAAGATTGTTTTTCGATTGATCAATTAATAGATGACTTGTTCTATCCTTCGAGAAAAATCGATTGGAAATTGTTGGCACTGCTTATTTTTCATTTTTGCTTAAAAATTAAAGTTCTAAATATATAATATATACCACACAAGAAATTAAACTGTGTAACGAAGCCCTTATCTAAATATATAAATATAAGTTTAGAAAAATGTTTTATCAGTTGTATTAAATAATTGTTTCCATGTCCCTAATTAATTAATTAATTAAGTTTATGAAAAATCAAATAAATTGTTTTGCTTTACCAGGGAAATATTGTTTTTAAACAAACATTTTGATTTAAAAAAAGGGAATTTTAAATTTAGTTATTATTATTTTATTATATGTTTTTATCGTACAATTGGTTAACCAATTGTTCATAGTGTGATTTCATTCTTAAGCTCTGTGTAAAAATATATAGTGTAAGTCGTGATTATATTTTTTAGAATTTTTAAGGATTTGTTCGTATTTGTTACATTGCTATGTTGTTTTGTTGTTGTGTCTACCTTTCCTATTTTATATTTTTTTTTGGATTTATGGTCGAGAGTGATCAGATCAGTTCGGGGTAGGATTGTGTTTCCGGTGTGTAGTGTTTATCCCAATAACGTTATGTCGAGGTTTTCAAAGTACAAAATCTAGGGTTTCGCCTGAAAGAGGGCGTCTGTTTGGAGTTGAGGCTTTGCCTTTTTCTGGAGTCCCACCAGAAGTCGTTTCAGCTGGATGATGGCTCGCGCGGGATTGAGATGCTTGGGGCACGTGTTGGTGCAGTTCATGATGGAGTGACAGCGGTACACCTTCCACGGATCCTTGAGGAAGTCCAGTCGCGGCTTGGTGGCCTCGTCCCTGGGGGGATGTCTCAGTTAGTTAAGCGTTGGATTAGGGAGGGAGTATGGTTTTAAAAATTAAGTTGAAAAATGAAATTCGTAAATGGACGCATAACATTAAATAATGTTGTGTGTAAATTTTATCTTCAACTTCGAAACATTTGCTCAGGTCGTTTTGAAATTTTAGCACTATTTCTGTACACAAGTTACGAGTTAACGATGTATTTTTTTTTTTTTAATTCGTAAATTTTTTTTTTAATTTCAGTAAAAAAAATGTACAACCAAGTAAAAGTATATGTATTCGTAAGTCTATCCGTCCGTCTGTCCGTTTCTACGCAAACTAGCATCTCAGTTTTAGAGCTATCTTGATACAACTTTTAAAAAAATTGTCCTCCTATTGAGCCGAAAAAAAAAGCGAAAAAAGCGCTCAAGTGTAGTTTTGTGATCTTTTTACAAGAACTGACAATTTACTTTGAGTACAAAAACTAAGAATCCCTAATTTTTATTTATTTTTTTTTTTATCAAAAATAATTAATTTTATTAAATAATTCAAAAACAAAGATTTTCATTGCAGAAATAAGAAAAAAAGTGAAATGTTAACTGTTAATTAATGTTAAATGTTAATTATAAAACTAATAATGATTATGGTTTCTGGTTTTAACTGATTGTTTTTCTGAGAACTTAGCTATGATCTGGAGAATTTACCATTTTGCAAAATTAAAGGCAACCTTAACAATAAACAAGTTGCTTTCTTTTTCTTTGTGTGTAGCCATGTAGCCATGTAGTTTTGTAGTCGTGTAGCTTGGCTCTGTTCTGCTTATGCTGATATGTTTTTTGACATTCAGTTTCGAAGCGCAACTGATAACGAGCTGGTCGGCGGAGCGGAAGAATGAAATATTATTAATTCATTTAATTCACTCTTGAGCAGGAAGCCAGCGATAAGAACAAATGGCAAGTAAGGCGGATGGGTGTAGATGTGAAATCATCTTAAAGGCAGCGTTATATAATTCTTCTTAAAATAGTTTTTTTCTAACGATCCTGCTATTGGCACACGGACATCCTATGGTTGCCCAATGCCCACCAGCTCCAGGAATTGATGAAGTCGAAAAACCAGCATGGCCACGTTGTCTTCTCACCCTTCGTCGTGGCTGCCATGCTGGCACTGATCTATAGGTCATCGGTGGGTGATACTTTCGGGTGGTGTCGATACCAGCTACGACAAGTGCTCCACATTCTATTTGAGAACGTGGGGGCCACGACGATCGACGACATCTTGGGGCGAGTCGGTTTCTGGAGCTCAGGCTACTCCAACGGAGCAACTTTTAATGCAAGCAAGATGAACAACCACGCTGTCTATGGTCTGACCAATCTGCCCTTGGATTTGCCATTCAGCAAGCTGAAGAATCACGGACTTGGACACCTCAATCGTATAATAATAGCTCCATGTCCTAGTTAACAAGTCTCTGCCTGTCCAAGGAGTCAAGGAGTCGCCAACAGGCGGTTCGTCTTTGCCATCAGCACCCCCACCTCACTGATGTTCATAATCGTTTGGAGAAGCAACACTAAAGTTTGTACTTATGGAGAACTGAACTTCGATAATCTAACATTACGTGGCGGGGAACGCAACAAATTGAATAAACCGATTTTAAGCGCAAAAGTTTAAGATCATAATAATGATCCGATATAAGGAATCTTTTTGCTGGAAAGTTTCCTGATATTGTATCTTTATTATGATCTGCAACTTTTGGTCATAAAATTGATTTATACAAATTGTTGCGTTCACCGCCACGTGACTTTTGGTTATCGAAGTTCAGTTTTCCATAAGTACATCTTTTACCTTACTCTTGTTGAAGATCATGAACAGCACTGAGTTGGGGGTGCGGATGGCAAAGACATTAAAGTTTCCTGACAATATATTATATAATCAAATACATTACAATGTACAGCTGCGGTCAAAATAATAGTAGTGGGAAAATGTAATGTGCTTAAAACATACTTTTAAGGCATTTTATAATGCATATTATAATGCTAACTAAACAATAAACCAAAAGAGACTTAAAATCCCTTTGACATGGTTATAGTTTTTAAAGAAAATAAAATACTGTTAAAAAAAAATTAGTTAAAATTCACTTTTTGAAATGCTGTAGTAAATTTAAGGAAATAAGAATAAATCATCGTTTATCTGCACTTCGAATTGGAATGAAAATGTTTTTGGTATCTGTCCTGTTTTCCAAAATAAAAATTTCAAAAATGTCACAACATTTTAATCGAAGGAGTTTAGCAACAAGTTCATTGTTAATTCTTGCCAGAAATTTGTTATACTTTAAAATTTGTTTATATATATTTTTGTATATTTAAAAATTGGTCAGAAGTTTGTAAAGCAGAATAAAGAAATAAGAACAAAACCCCTTTCCCAAGAAAACCCCATTTAAAGCTCACCTGGAATCGATGATCCAGCGGTAGGCCTGCATGAGAACGGCTGGTCCCAAGTACTTATTGCTGTTCCACCAGTACGATGGACAGGATGTCTGACAGCAGGCGCACAGGATGCACTCGTAGAGGCCATCGAGCACCTGGCGATCCTCGATCGACTGGAGGTACTGCGCCGTTCCGGCCTCCTTCTTCAGATCCTTGCGCTGCAGCCAGGGCTGAATGGAGCTGTACTGGTCGTAGAACTGGCTGAGATCCGGCACCAAATCCCGCACCACATACAGATGCGGCAGTGGGTAGATGCGGCAGCACTTGCTCTCGTTCTGATCGATATGGGAAACGCAGGCCAAGGTGTTGGTGCCATTGATGTTCATCGCACAGGAGCCGCAGATGCCCTCGCGACAGGAGCGGCGAAAGGTGAGCGTGGGATCCATTTCGTTCTTGATCATTATCAGGGCGTCCAGCACCATGGCGCCGCACTTCTCCAGATCCACGCTGTACGTCTGCAGTTGCGGCTGATCGCCGGGCTTCCAGCGGTAGATCTCGAAGTTCTTCATCCGAGGAGTGGAGGATTTGGCCTTGGCGGCAGGCGGTGGCGAAGGCGGTAGAGGTGGTAGCCCAGGTGGCTTTCCGGCGGACGCTCCTCCGGGCTGGGCGGATCCGGCTCCGGCTCCTGCTGGGGCTGGTGATGGGGCTGGAGCTCCTTCTGTTCCTGCTCCTGCTGGGGCTGCAGCTGGGGCTGGGGCTGGCCCTCCTCCTCCTCCGCTCCCGGAGTACCGTCTTCTTGGGGTTGATCCTCCGCCGGTTGATCCTCTGGGGGCTCTTCCTCCTGGGGAAATGGTTAGCCAAAATATAGAAAGTAAAGGGACAGAAAATAAAATATTAAAATTGAATTAAATTAAATTATATAAATGAAACAAATTCTTTACAATCAATCTATTAATATCTTCCATGATTTTTTAAAGCTCTTATTTTTATAATTAATAACATTTCTGCACAAAAAAACTAAAAATGGATTATTATTTTCAAGACAAAAAAAAAATCTGTCATAACTTTTAATACATTTTTTTTGGTGCTCAAAATAAAACCGATATTGACACGGCGACATACAAGTTTTGTTTTTTTGCTTAAAAAACGTAACAATTATATATAACACTGTTTTTTTAAATACAGTTAAATTTACTAAAATTTATTTGTCCAAAAACGCGTTATGAAAAAAAATCTTTAAAAAATATTGAATTTTTTTATATATATATTTTTTAAGAAAAATAATTATTTCTGCACAACAAATTTAAAGAAAGGCCATAATTGTTTTAGAGAAAAACCGATAAAACTGAAAATAATGAATTATATTTGGAGTCCTATTTGTTATCCTCTAAAATAGAATTTATTTATTTTGCTTAAATTTGTACTCCTGGGTGACTAAATAAAAACTCAAAAAATATTATTTTGTGACTTATAAAAAAACCTTTTTCATGTGTTCAAAATTCAAGTAAATCTCTTAACGGAAATTGAACCCACCTGATCCTGGTCCTGCTCCTTGCCCTCCTCCTTGGCCACTGGGCTGGGCGGACTGGGATACCATGGATACCACGGATACTGTGCCGGCGGCAGCCATCGCTGGTCCGGATAGCGATACGGTGGACATAGCCGGCGCAGAACAGGAAACGGATTCGGACACATCTCCGGTGGCGGCGTAGCCCTTCAGCAGCCACGTGCCCTGTTTACTTAGCAGCCGAGGCTGCCGGCGCAGCAGATTCATTGGTTTTCCCGATTGAGACCTCAAATTAGGGGCTTCTTCAAAAGCCTAATCAATTTTAGCTTGAAAAAAAATATTTTTATATTTAGTTTGAGAGGGAGTTAGATATTGTGTGTTGTTATGCCGAAACTCGTATCAAAACTAAGTCAGAGAGGGGACTGATCTGGGATTATGACTTGATTTTAGAGGCATGGCTGGCTTGTTTACAAAAATTGTTAAATACAATAGTTGATTTTAATCTAAATATATACGTATTTATTTTGTTTTTTATACCCTTGCAGAGGGTATTATAATTTCAGTCAGAAGTTTGCAACGCAGTGAGGGAGACATCTCCGACCCTATAAAGTATATATATTCTTGAACAGCATCACTAGGCGAGTCGATCTAGCCATGTCCGTCTGTCCGTCTGTCCGTCTGTCTATCCGTCTGTCCGTCCGTTTCTACGCAAACTAGTCTCTCAGTTTTAAAGCGATCTGCATGAAACTTTCCCAAAAGTTGTCTTTCTATTGCAGGTAGTATATAAGTCAGAACGAGCCGGATCGGACGACTATAGCATATAGCTCCTATGGGAACAATCGAAAAAATAAATTAAAAAAAATTATAACTTATAAAAAATGTTTCATTTAGTTCTTCGACATATAGTAATGGTTAAATATTTCAGAATTACGGTTTAAATTTCATCAAAATCGGACGAGTATATCATATAGCTCCCATAGAAATAATAAAAATATATAAAATAACTATATAATAATTGAGCTGCAAATCATCATAGCTTCAATGTTTTTAGACATATACGCAAGTAAATCATAATTTTAATGTTTTAAAAAATATTTAATTTTTGCAATAGCTGCAAGGGTTGCTTCCTTTTCTTGTTTTGTTAGGGACTTAACATATATTTTATTTTTAACTATTTATGTTAGTAAATTAAAATTAACTAAATTCCTACTGTGAAGGTGAAAAAGATGGACAAAAAATCTGCAACTATCTATTTATCTATTATTCAAACAAAATTCTTTAGCATGTATATTTCATTTGGTCTTCAAATCGGTGTTAAATTATTTATATATATTTTTTTTTAAATTTAGAAAAAAATGTATAATTTATAAAATTTTTTTTTAGCCATATAATAAGGTAACAAAGGTCATCTAAGATACTAATTGTAAGCAACCAGTTTAATATATACTTTGGACAAGATAAAAAGAAAAAAACCGATTTTTTACACATTGAGAGACAAGTTTTTAAAATGTATTTAAATGTAATTGAGCCAATTTTTCAATTTTCGAGTATTGTTTGTGCAAATTGGTTATTAAACCATTTAAAAACAGCAATTATTTGATGTAAGCAGTTAAAGCAGTTTTATTTTTTCAAAATAAATATCGATAGCAGCCACCGCGTTAGCCAACACTGGCATCGATAGGCTGCACAGTTATGTATCGGTAAACGCGAAAAAGAAGAAGAAGTGGAAGGGCCACCAAAACGAAGAAAACGCAAAACGAAAATTGGACAACAAAGCAAAAAGATCATAATATTCCACGTAAAACGCATAGGAATCAGCCAAAACGGAGGCGCGCAGGCTAGCGGAGATCGCGGCGATGGAGAAGAAGGCCAAGGAGTCGCTGCGCCGCTACAAGAAGGCCGCCCGCCACAGTGCGACGCACTCAAGCAGTTCGGACTCCACTTCGGATTCGGACAGCGGTAGCAGCTCTTACAGCAGCTCCGATAGCGAGCAGGGTGTGGGCGTAGGCGGCAGCGGCGGTGGCGGTGTGGGCGGACCCGGCGGCGTGGGCGGCCCCGGTGGCAGCGGTATCCACGGCCATGGCCCACATCCCCATGGCCATGGCCATCATCCGCGATCCGCGGAGCGCCATCATCGCAAGAAGAAGAGCTCACGGCGTGGGGGCAGCTCCTCCGGCGAGGAGACATCGCGGCGCAAGCGGGACAAGCGAGATCACGTGCAAAAGAAACTGGTGGCCAAGCGGAATCACATCAAGCGCAAGCTAAAGGAGGCGCGTCTGAAGAAGAGGGCCGCCGCCGCCCTGAGCGGCCATGTCCATCGCTCCCTGTCGCCCACCACCCGCGCCAAGCTCAAGAAGCTGGCCGAGCGGAAGCGGCTGCGGGCCGCCAGCAAGGAGCAGCGCGAGCGGGACAAACTAAGGGCCGTCCAGCGGGACAGGGAGCGGGATCACCATCGCTTGGGCAGCAGCCGGAGTCCGCCGAGCAGCAGCACCACCACCACCACCAAGATACGCATCCACCAGGACATCGTGGGCAAGCGGCAAAAGAGTCCAGGTAACTATCTTCCTCAGAAAGTTGGCTGAAGAATAGAACAACATGTTTACTTGACTTTCACTTAATCATATATTTAAACAAGTTAAACCATATATTTCCTAAAAGAATAGAAAGTTGTTATTAAAGAATAACATATTCTCTTTAAATATTCCTCTCAAAAACCTATCTTCAAATAAGTAAAACCATATATTTTCAAAGAATAAAAAGTTCTCTTAAAAAAGGAAAAACATATATTGTCAAAGAACAGAAATTTATTATTAATAAATTTAATTTATGCTCTCTTTAAATATTCCTCACAAAGAAATTCTGAAATTTCTGAACTCCTCACAAAGAAAGAATTGAAAGTTGTTACTCAAGTTACTTTACTTATATCTCACAAAATCTTATTCTTTAAGCAGAATTACCAAATTTTCTCAAGGAATATAAAGTTCTCTTTAGATATTTCCTATAAAATTGTACATATTTATTTATGTATCTTTTAATAATCTCCTTTCTCTAATCATCGTTTCTATCACACACTTAAAAAAATTGCCGAAAACCATTAATTTCTAATGAATGTTATGTTCCTTTTAATATAACTATTAAAATTTAACATGTGTATATATGTTTAGGTTTTTAAGCAGTATATATTTTACCGATCTGTATTTAGTAAAATATTTAAAAGGGTTGTAACCATAGTAACAGACTATTTTACCTGAAAAAGTTGATTTAAACTTGTAGTTTTCGAATAATAATACGTTAATCTTAAACATTTCCATAAAATTATTCCGTATTTATTCTTAAGTTTGCATTATTACTGATTTTTGAAAGGTGGCAATAGTGGCTATGAAACAAAAAGATATTTTATAATTATTTTTTTTATCAGCAAATCGATATGTTATAGTAACAATTTTCAAACTGAATATAATATAAAGGAAATCATTTTAGTCAAGCAAAAACGTCTTAAACTGTCAAACATTTATTATTTTTTTTTGAAAGACATGCAACCCTAAAAATATTTCATAACTTCATTATTTTGCTAGTGTCAAACATTTGACTGACAGCTAGCTAGCTATTCTCTGATGGAATCGTTATTTTAAAATCATAGCTCAAAACGTTATTTAACCATTTAAAATATACTTAAATTTTATTATTTACTAAAACACCTAGTAAGATAATTTAGTTAAAAGTTTGTTTAACCAGCTAAATCTTACCTTGTTTACTAGGCTTGGGATCAGGACTTGGAGGCGGAGGCAGCAGCTCGTCCTCGCGCATGCACCACCAGCTGATGTCGCGCGAGAAGATCATCATACAGACGCGGGCACGCGGACGCACTCCGTCCCTGGAGCGGGAGCGGGAAAGGGAGCGTGAGCGAGAGCGGGAAAGGGAACGCGAACGCCATGACCTGTCCTTGCGCGAACGAGATCGCCGGGATCGGGAACGCGAGCGAGCGGAGCGGGAGGCGGCCAGGGACAAGGAGCGCGCCGAGGCGTTGGCTCGCTGCCAGGAGCGTCAGCGGGAGCGGGAACGCTTGGCCCGCGAGAAACTGCGCCGTCAGGAGGAGGAGGAGGGCGGCAAGCGGGGCGGTCCTGGGCGCGACTTGGATCTGCCGCCCTATGGCAGTCGGGAGCGATCACTGGACACCGTCGAACGGGAACGGGAGCGGGAACGAGAACGTGGCGGTCGCCATGTGCGCGACAAACGGGAACTGGATCCCTATGAGCGGGAGCAGGAATATCTGGAGGAGCGACATGGCCATGGGCTGATGGACGAGATGCGAAGGTATCGGCGCAGGGACCTTAGTCCACTGCCCGATCACTATGCGCCCAGGATGCGGGATCCCCGCGAAATGTACTCCGAGGAGGAGCGAGAAAGGTGAGTTGACCGTACGATTCCTTTCCTGGAAAAGGTAATTCCATCCGTTACTCGTAGAGCAAAAGGGCATATTGTATTTGTTGAAAGGTGGAAGGACTCCGACTTCCAACTCTTTAACGAATATATATTCATTAATCTAGCCAATCTAGCCATGAACGTCGAGATCTCGTAACTATAGAAGCCAGACTTTTGTGATTTAACATGCAGATTCTAGGTTTTCCCACACAGCGAAATTTTATTTAAAAACTTGAACACACCCACTCTAACGCTCACAAATCGCAAATCTCCGTCACGTCACTCTAAGAAATGGTAGAAGTTGTTGGGTGTATATGTCTATTCGGTCAATATCTATCGACAGATCAAAAATTGTCCAAATCGAAACAGTATTTTAGAAGTTATTAAGAAGGTTTTAACTATGACATTACTGCATATTTGAAAAACGGTGGTGTTGACCTTGCAATTCGGTAGATGGCGCTACCTAAAGCCCTATTATGTTGTATGAACATATTTACTTTGAAACTAAAAACTTAACCGTTTTCTTTTTAAATAATTACCTTTTTGGTTAACCCATGAGATATTACTGTCTTTCCCCCTGTCGTTTTTGCACCCCAATCTTATATGCTCCATTTAAACACATACCTTATTTTAGAGCCTACAAGCGCGCCTATCTGGATGCCCGCTATTCCTCGCGGGAACGTGAGGCCTGGCTGGAGGCCCGTGAGTTGCGAGAGCGGGAGCTGCAGGGACGCGAGTACCGCGACCTGGAGGCCGAGGAAGGGCTATATCCGGACGAGCGGGAGCGCCTGATCCGCGACAGGGAGCGAGATCGGGAGCGGGAACGCGACCGTGAGAGGGAGCGCAATATTGGACCGCGTGGCGACTTCCGTGCGGAATGGGAGCGCGACTGGGACGAGGAGGGCGGCGGCGGTGGCGGCAGCGGTCCGGGCGGCGGTCCAAGTGGCACACCGGGTCGACCCAGTGGCTTTGTGGGCGGACCCAAGCGAGCCAAGCCACCAACACATCCAGGCGGAGGAGCTCCGCCGCAGCAGCAGCATCATTCCGCCTCGGAGCCCGACTGGGATGCCGACGAGCGGGAAAGGGAGCGGGAACGAGAGCGCGAGCGCGATCGGGAACGCGAAAGGGATCGCGAGGAGCGTCCGGATGGAGGAGTTGGTGGCGTTGGCAACGACAGACCATCGATTAAAAACGAGCCCGCCTGGTTGGAGCACGATCAGCGGGAGAAGCCGCGCGCCTGGCAGCAACAGCAGTCGTCCAACTCTGGCGGCGATTGGCGGGATAACGACGATGCCCCGCCGCCATCAGCTCATCCACATCCAGCCTCGCCACATCACCATGTGCACCCCAGAGGCGAACGAGGATCGGGCCGTGGATTCCGGCGCGGTGGCCACGGCGCACATGGCGATCATGGCGATCGACCCGGCGGCTACCGCTCGCATCCGCCACCGCTGATGACGTTGCCCGTGCAGCCACCAGGCGGCTATTCGCGTGGATTTCCCCACAAAAGGCTGCCCTACGGAGGCGGTGGCCGAGGTGATGGCGGCGGAATGGGCGCCAGAGATGGCGGACTACCTGGCTCTGGCTCCGGATCCGGCTCCAGCTCCGCTTTCCTCAAGAAGCACACACACGCCCCTTTGGTGTCGCCCACGCAGACGCCGCTCCTGAATCCCCTGCTCAATCCCGGCAAGCCGAATGCAGCCGCTCAGGCGAGCGCCGTGGCTGCTGCAACCACCGCAGTGGCCGCGGCCAAGGCGGCGGCTCAAAGTGCCGCCAATGCAACCACAAATCCCGGAATACTCGCTCAAGTAAGTTCAGTTTTTAATTTAACTTGGAGATTATAAAGGTTCTAATATATAATGTAAATTTTTAAAATCAAAATTAATCCTTTTAACTCTCAAGTTTTTTTTAAATTTGTTTATGCTTATCAATTATTCACTCTTGCATAGTAATTTTTGATTGTCCGTTAGGGTAAATAATTAAAACCAAAACAGACAGTGGTTTCGTTTTTCCTTACTAGCCTGAAAGCTATAGCTCAGTCAGTGTTGCCAGCTTAGTTTTTCCCCCTAGATTTAGAGGTTTTCCGACGGTCTAGGGGGAAGGTAAATGTTTATTTTTTTAATTGTACTATTTAAAAAAAAATTACAAAACACAGAGGTTACCTAATTTGTAAACATGACCACAAAATATCGAACATCAACTTAAAGTTCTTGTAAATATTTTATATGTTTCCGACTTTGTCTACAATATTTTTATCAAGAAAGAATTTCAATTTTTTAAATTTTAACATGTGATTAAATTAGGGCAAAAATTAGATTGTAATATATATATAATACTCATCCTTTATTAAGTGTTAAGTTTAATATATTAAAATCTATTTAAATTTTATGCTTACTGTTTGGCAGGCATTAAGATTGTTTATAACTGCAGATTGTATCATATTTTGATTTTTTCTGGACTGTTTATGATTTCGAATTGAATCAATTAGTTTTAATTCTTTCTATTATCTACTACTTGATAGTATACAAAAATGTTTTGTTTATAACTGCATATTGGGTAATGATTTGATTGGCTGTTGGTGTAAATAATTTAAATCCAAACAGATAATGGTTTCGTTTTTCATTGATGAGTATAAAGGTTTTGTTTTGCAGCTACTTAGCTCATTCTTTCAAAGCTTATCAAGCTGGCAAGATGGTGAATCCATTATTAAATATTCTCCTTTTCAAATTTCGATTTCGATGTGTTTATATTTAATGCAATAATCTTACTTTAAGGTGAGCAAACTGAACACGGTGTGCATCAAGCAGGAAGAAGCCTCAGAGGATTCGGCAGGCACTCCAGAGTTGGGTGCCCAGGACTCACCGGCTCAGAACCTGAACCATTCGCTGACCTCCGAGGGCAATCCTGTCAAGCTGGAGCCACTGCGCACCAGCGCCGCTGAGGGCGAGCTGAGCGAGATTAGCGACAGCGACGACGACATCCTGAACAAAACGGACAAAGTGCGACCCAAGAGCGAGTTGCCCACTGAAATGGACCAGGAAATGGACACCAATGCCGAGGACGTCAAGAACGAGGGCCTCCATGGCGTGGCCGGTGGTCATCCGATTAAGGGCGAGGAGGTGGACGAAGTTCTGGACTTTGAGGAGATATCCGATGGCGAGCTGGAGGAGGATGCTCGGCACAAAGGTGAGAGAAACTAAGTGTTGGGTGTTATTGTGATTTAGATAGAACTTTTCGAGGCTTACGGTTTTAAAATATTTTTGTCGAAGACAATGCAGACATAATTTTGTAATCATATAACATTATGTTTCTCCTGCAAATACTTGTATTATAACAATAAACATTGTGAGTGAAATTATAGTTGTGACTCACAACAATTTCCAAGGCTTATGGCTTAAAAGTATTATTGATTTAAGACGTTTTCTAGATGTTTCAAAGCAACGTCAATGCGGATCAAATTTTTAAATCATATAAATACATATATTTTTAAAGCTATTTGCAAAATAGGTTGCTTGCTCATCCCACAATCCGCCTTTTTAGTTGGGAAAAATAGAAGTGAGATGTCCGATCATAAAGTATATATACATAGCTTTAAATGGTTTTTTGTTTATAGCTAAACAAATAAAAATGTAATTAAATAAATAAAAAGTGAGGAGAGCCTGAAACGTGACGTATCGGTAATATATAATAATACGTCCAAAAACATAACAAATACATTTTCCACCGATGACATCATTTTGGGCACAATAGTGTCAAAAGCTTAAAATGAAAATTGGAAGTCACGTGACACGGAAAAGTTACAATACATACAGCTGCGGTCAAAATAATAATAGTGAGACAAAGCATAGGACAGCTTAAGTTATTATAAAGTCTTCTTACCTCTTAACAAAATAAGGTTAGAAATCTCTGATATGGTTTTAGTTTTTTAAGGAAAATCAAAACTGTGTACAGCAGTTATTACAGTGTTTGACTGATTTTATAACAATTTTAAAAAATAATCATAAAATCTCGTTCATCTGCACTTTATATTGCAATAAAAATATTTTTTAGTATCTGCGCTATTTAAATTTATAATTTAAAAACAATTTTGTGTGTTAATCTTTTTAAAATAATATACATATGATAAATGTGTGTTATGTATTAAAGTATTTCCAAATGTTTTCGATTGCTTTTCCTATTAGGTAAAAAAACTATTATTATTTTGACCGCAACTGTATATATTATAGTGATGATTTATTCACCCCCAAAACTCATTTCTCATCCCATTTCACAGGCATTGGCGATGCTTTGGGCGTGGACTGGCAGGGCTTGATAGCGGAGACCCGCCAGCAGGCGTCCGAGGCTCAGGCGGCACAGCAGGGCGTCGACCGGGGCACCTCCGCCAAGCAGCGGTGGCAGCCACATCGCGTCCTCCTCGACATGGGCATATCGTTCGGGATGGCGGGCGAGAGCTACGCCCGTCGCGTGATGGAGGAGGCACGCCAGCAGTTGATCCAGGAGAAGGAGCTGTGCCAGCTGCGCGAAAGGGAACGCGATCTGGATGGCGTTGGTGGGGACCAGGATCAGCCATCGCCGGCCAAGATTGCCTCGCCGCTGCTCGACTACCGCGAATTCCTGGCCAGTCCGCAGCAATTGGAGCCACTGGCCTGCGTGCAGATGGGTCTGCGCAATGCGGCCGCCGAACGTCAACGATTGGTGGGCAATGTGTGTGGTCCGGGTAGTCGCGCCTTGAGTGCTCGCCAGGATCTGCGACTGCGCCGCCAGCTGTGCGGTCTGCCCGCCAGAGAGTGCGAATTTCCGCGCAGTGTGCCCCTCGTGGGCGACGGACTGCGCAATTTGGCCATGCAAATGTTCCAGCGCAGTCTGCTGGACGTCAAATGAGATCCGATGCCCGACGACGAGATGGAGAGGCGGCATTACCGCAAGCCACGTCACTATCGACTTGACATACAGATCTTCATGGGCGACCAGCAGACGAGAGGACGTGGGCGAAAGCATTACTAGACGATTGTTAGCAGTAAGCTTTTGATTTGATTTAAAATACACCTTGATGTGGAGGCATCCTCTCTCTCCTAATATGAAAATTGTGAATATCAACTGCATAAATATATATGTTCTAAATAAAAGTTATGGTCGTAAAAGGCCCAAAGTGAATGACTGATTATATATTCTATTGTAAATGCTTATGGAAACCAATTAAACTAGAGAGTTCTGAGCGGGGGCGCTGCCGAGACGATATGAGATCATGATGAATGGAAGCGAAGCGAAGCGAAAAAAAGGATAGGATAATAAAGCATTTGTTATATTTTCAATAGTAGATTTATTATATCGTTGTTAGAACAGTTTTATAAGAAACCTAGTGCCGAAAATAATGTTAAATTAAATTTTATTTCAATAAATACATTCAGAATGGCTATTGTTTATGTTTAGTTATCCTATAATAAGCAACTCAGGCAACATGGAATAATTTGTAAACATTTTACGACAACTTAAGAAGTCCTAGGATCTCATGTATAATTTGGATTTGGACGTGATTTAGCCTACCCAATTTTCAGTATTAATACTTATGTGCAACGATCTTAAGCTGAATCAAGTTAGGTTTGGTGTTTGGGTTATCACATGTAATGGAAAAGTTCTTCCAAAAAAAAAAACAAAAAACAAGTTTTGGGTCCAAATGTTCGTTCTTATCATAGCCATATATGATTAAATCAACCGATCTTTTATAATATCTACAATAAAGGAAGGGGATGTAGCTTGTATTACCCAGAAATCGTTTAAGATAGGGGTGTTAAATATAAGGTGGTTATTAAAGCCATTTCTGGACGCTTATTTAAACACACATAGATATTGTTTATGACCATTGAAATGTTTGACACTTTTGGAAAAAGTGCAGTGGGGAAATAGCAAAAACTCAGCTGAGAAAAGAAGGTCGTAAAAGTGACACTTTACTCCGCAATATAAAAAAATGCACAACATTTTAATTGGATTTTGTGTATTTGTATTTGTTTTTGTTTTTTTTTTTTCTGTTTTGTTTATTTTAATTTGAGTTATTATTTTGTAAATTTATACTTGGTTTTTTTTCACGTTGAAGTAATCTTTGCTTTGCTCTCTCTCTCTCTCTCTCTTTATCTCTCTCTCTTTTCCTGTCTCTTTCGCTTTGATGTTACTAATTTGCCCTGTTCTCGCCATGTTTATTATATGCATCTGCTGTGTTTATTTAATTATATTAAATTGTTTAGCACTACAAGTTATTTGTTAAAAGGCCAAGAAAAACAAATTTTGTTTTATAATTTCGCTTCATACACCGCCTCGCTTTGCTTTGTCTAATTTTCAATTACGATTTGTTCTTTTAGTTTTAGTTTATTTGTAAAGGTATATTTTGTGTTGCCTGTATTTTTAGTTGAGTTTCGTTTTTGCAATGCAAATTTAAACGTACAATGTTCGAAATTAAGATTTAGTTCATATTACATGTAGGTTCTCGTTTTCCCTTCTTTTTCTTTGATTCTTTTGTATTTTTTGTTGTTTTTTTTTTTTTTGTTGTTTTTTGTCCATGTTGCATACAGCAATGCATATATGGAGTGTTTTATGTGTTTGAGTGTTTTGTGAGTCAACGCTTGGCGTAAATCTTCTATGCTTCTGCGGATTCTTCAACATGGCTGCAGCTTCTCTTTGAAAGCGCATTTGTTAGTGTTTAGCTGCTATGTTTTCTGTTTTAATTGTTTGTTTGGTGCGTTCCACTCCAGCTTGTTCTCAAAAAAATACAAAAAAAAAACCAACAATTGAAGGGTGTTTGAAATAGAAATGTGCAATCCCATCTTGTCGCATTTCTTGCGACTACAGCTGTGTTTTCTTCGACGGCCCAGTAGATTCTGTGTTGTCCCCTCGTCCTTTTGGTGTTCTGTGTTTCTTACGCGCATTCCCCTGCTGCTTCTGCTGCTGCTGCTCCTGCTGCTGTTTGTTCTGGCCCCCTTGACGGCGTCAATTCAAGGAGGGCATGTGGACATCGTGCCAGTTGATCTCGATGTTCGGCCACTTGGTCTGCAGGCAAGTGACCATCGGGTTCGAGGTGCAGATCGACTTCAGGTCGCCCTCCAGCAGAATGGCCGAGCCGCAATAGTAGCGCACCTACAACGGAATACAATAAATATATAAAACTGTTATTCAAAAGGTTTGAACTTTTTAAATAAATGTTTGTTGATTTAAGGTAAAAAAAAAGAATAAATAAATAATAGCTAAAAGGTTTCACAATTCGGAACACTTATTCCTATACAAAAAAATGTATTAAATGATTGAGAGATCAGCCGGAAAATTGTTTTATTCTTACCAATATTTTTTTAGCAAAACCTCATTGTTTTTATACCCTTGCAGAGGGTATTATAATTTCAGTCAGAAGTTTGCAACGCAGTGAAGGAGACGTTTCCGACCCTATAAAGTATATATATTCTTGATCAGCATCACTAGTAGAGTCGATCTAGCCATGTCCGTCTGTCCGTCCGTCTGTCCGTCTGTCAGTCTGTCCGTCTGTCCGTCCGTTTATATGCAAACTAGTCTCTCAGTTTTAAAGCTATCTGCATGAAACTTTCCCAAAAGTTGTCTTTCTATTGCAGGTAGTATATAAGTCGGAACGAGCCGGATCGGACGACTATAGCATATAGCTCCCATAGGAACAATCGGAAAAATAATTGAAAAAAAATTATAACTTTGCTGTTTTTTAATTTTTTGTTTTGTTCTTCGACATAAAGCAATGGTTAAATATTTCAGAATTATGGTTAAAATTTCATCAAAATCGGACGACTATAGCATATAGCTCCCATTGGAACAATCGGAAAAATAATTGAAAAAAATTATAACTTTGCTGTTTTTTAATTTTTTGTTTTGTTCTTCGACATAAAGCAATGGTTAAATATTTCAGAATTATGGTTAAAATTTCATAAAAATCGGACGACTATAGCATATAGCTCCCATAGGAACAATCGGAAAAATAATTGAAAAAAATTATAACTTTGCTGTTTTTTAATTTTTTTTTTAGTTCTTCGACATACAGCAATGGTTAAATATTTCAGAATTATGGTTTAAATTTCATCAAAATCGGACGACTATATCATATAGCTCCCATACAAATAATAAAAATATATAAAAGAACAATCAAATAATTAAGCTGCAAATCGTCATAGCTTCAATGTTTTTAAACATATACGCAAGTAAATCATAATTTTAATGTTTTCAAAAATATTTAATTCTTGCGATAGCTGCAAGGGTATATGAACTTCGGCTTGCCGAAGTTTGCTTTCTTTCTTGTTTTTTTATCACATTTAAGGCAATTTAGGTGAACTTTAACACACAACATTATTTTTATTACAAAACTTTGAAAAAACAATAACCTAATAAATGATTAAGAAATCACCGGAAAATTGTTTTATTTTTCCTTCAACATTTATTCATTTTTATTGTCGTTAATAATATAGATATTTTTTTTAAATTTGTCAACAGTGCAAACTACTTAAAACACTGCCTTTAGATAATAATAAAACCATTATTTTAAGACTTTAAACAGATTTTCTGCTTTCCGCTTTTAAATTAATTTTTATATATAATTATTAATAATCTCTAAGTGGCTTAGCGAGCTAAAACACTTAGTTATTTTTATAAAAAAAACTTTAAAAATGATTAATTTCAGGCGAAATATTTTTTGTACCTTCAACATTTTTATCAGTTTAATTAAATAGTTATTCCATAAACCTTTTTTTTTCCTCATTTAAATACCGGCTTTAAATTTGTTTAAGAGTTTCCTTAATCCGTTTCAAAATAAATTCATTGAACAATGTTGATTGGGATGCATTGGTATGACAAGAGTTTTGGTTGCTCACCCTGTTGTTCTCATTGGAGCCCGGTATGCCGTTGTAGTGCATCAACTCAAAGGTATCCGGCGTGGAGCGGCGCTCCAGTGGGAAGAACTCGTCCATGAAGGCGTTCAGCAGTATGATGCCCAAGTTCTCCGGGTCCAGACGCTTCTGCATGAGGCCCACGCTGCAAGAGGGTATCGGTAAAATTAAGGCTTTCACGAACAACAGGGGTTAGGGGTTAAGCTTACTAGGCCGGCTCGCTGACCAGGTTCAAGGCGGCGAGGACTTCGCGCAGCATGGTGGTCGATATGAAATTGTTGCCCTCCGGGTCGTAGGATTTGAAGATGCGACGACCGATCTCCGAGGGCGTCTCCGGCGAGACAAGCCTCTTTTCGTTGCTGAACAGAACTAAGGGAAGATAACAGCGTTAGATGAATTGATGGAGAGAGCAAACAAAGGCAGTGCTGGAATGACTAACCGGTTAAATGCGTATCGGAGCCCATCACCCAGACGGGATAGCGTGGGTTCTTGAAGAAGGAGCCAACGGTGCAGTAACGCATCTGCTCCATCAGTGTTATAAACCCGATGTCGCTCTGCTCGCAGATGCCGCGCAGCTTCAGTCCGCCGACATCCTGCTCATTGTCCCAGACATGGGCCACCGCACGGCCAGTTAGCATCAGGTTAATCAGCGACTGGGCGCCATAGCCGTAGGTGCTGTGTATCAGCGGCTCCGACGTGTCCGATATGTCGGCGGCCACCAGCTCCGATCCCTTGGTGAGGAACACCGAGTACATGAACAGCAGCACACCGTATGTGTGCGCCAACTGACCATAGTTCTCCATATAGTAGCGGGCCACGGCGGCGATGTCCTCGAAGTGGAGCGTGTGCAGGCGCTCGTGGAACTCATCCGGCGACAGCTCGCGATGCGGATCATTGTCGAGCTGCTCCAGGGACATCTCGTTGACCGAGGCGGGCGTGGCCTCGGCCGCCAGTTCCACCGGAGCTCCGGCAGCCGACTCCGACGATCCGGCTGGGCCAGCCGGAGCAGATCCTCCCTCGACGCCTGGCGAGCGCTCTTTGGTTGAACCAGCCTCTGTGGCATTTCCACGACGGCGCATAAGATGGACGATGCGGTAGCGCGGCGCCCTGCAATTCTTCAGGATGTTGCACAATGCCTGGATCAACAGGTTCTGGCATTTGTCGTAGGGAATCTAGATTTGATTGGAATGAGGTAGAATGAATAGGGTTTCCATGGAGCGCTAGTTGTAGATTAGGTACACCCACCTCCGACAGCTTTACGCCTGGCATGTCCATGATAATTATCTTAAGCAAGTACGCCTGCACCGGCGCTATCACAGCACAAGGACCGCCCTGCTTCTGCACCAATGCCGACGGTTCCACTTTACTAAACTCGAATCCTGGATGGGGTTACATTTGGGGTCAATCCAAGCAGAAAATAATGTTTTAGGAGGGTAAATAATGGCTACAGCAATGGGTAAAATGGTAAAATGAATAGTTTGTTAACCATTTTAAAGATTACAATTTAATAACACTAACAAAATTAAATTGAATTGAATCAAAATCTAAAATAGGAGGCAAAAATAAAAGCTTTTAACTAAATTTGATAAATATTTTCAGAATTTATTTATAAACTCTTAGTCGCGCGATAAGTTTTAATGTGAATACCCTGATCGTTCCTTACAACTTTAATTTATACTAAAATATTATATTAAAACCTCAACCTCAGAACAAGTTTTGATTGCATTTTGCACAAATATTTTAATATTTATAGCTTAGCAAGAACTTTGTTGGGGCTTTTATCGAAAAAATAATAAATCTGAATAAAATATTAACATTTTGTACTTTTACATAATTAAGCTTAAGCCATTATAAACTTAAAAAAATGGAGGGAAAACAATTCTATTTTGAAGTCTTATTATAAAGCAGAAAACAAATTGAGCATGACCTGGGATAAGTTTTGGTATTGAGTGATAAGGCATTTACGTGAATTTGTTGTTGTTTGTTAGTTATGTATACGATAATGTCCGCTTTTACTTGCTCGACTAAGCCATACCCTTAGTGTCGGTCTTATGCTAAGTTGATTCAGTCAAAATATTTAAGAGAAATGTCTAAGAATGGCTATTATGACAGCAAATATAGCAAGATAGTGTTTCCTTAACTTTAACTGCAAAGTCATGGTCAGAATAGAAAATTATAAAATTAATTTAAAACTTATAAAAGCAAAAAAAGTTTGACCCTTTATATTTGACAGAAGTTTTTTAAAAATGGCTACGATGACAGCTAATTTTCACTGACTTAGCCATTTAGGATAACTATAATCTTGACTTTAATTTTAAACGGAAAATGTTAATGTCAACAGCAGAACAATATGACCTGGGTTGAGTTTGACATTGGACATACCCGCCACATTCGTCCATTGCTGGGCACACAAAAAAAAAGGGCGCGCTTTTGGTCCCACAGTGGGTGGGGGTGGTGCACTTTGTGCGGGGTGTGGTGGGTGGGGGGGGATGGTGTTGATTGGGTAGTTACCTTGAGACCAACGCTTGAATACATCTTCGCGCACATTGTCGCCCCACAGCAACTGCTTGATTTCGCGCAGCTCGCGCATATCGGTGGCATTCAGCTGGAGCTGCAGTGGCAGTGGCAGTGGCAGTGGCAGCTTGTCCTGCAACAGCCCGCCGGACGCAGATGCAACTGCTACTCCCGCTGCTCCTGCTCTTTCCGCTCCACCACCACCACTTGCTCCACCTCCTCCTCCTCCTCCTCCTCCACCTGCTCCTCCTCCACCTGCTCCTACCCCTGCTCCTGCTCCACTGGTGGTGGGGCTGGCGCTGCCGGGGGTGTGCTACTGACGCTGGCGGTCGTGTGCGATTCCAAGGCCGCCGAGGCCAACGTCATCGATGCCGCCGCCGCCGCCGCTGCTGCTGCTGCTGCTGCTGCCGATGATGCAGTTTTGGGCGAGACGACGGAGGACTCCTCGCCGCCGCTGCGCTCCCGCACGATTTCTTCGTTCATGTCCGCTGCACTGCACTGCACTGCACTGCGCTGCACTTCTCTTACCGCTGGTGGTGGTCACCTGGTGCTCCAGCTGCTCCTCCTCGTTCTCTGGGACTCGATGGGACACTGGTGCTCAGGTAGGTTCACTCGATACGGTTGTTTAGCCTACCATTTGGTTGGCTTTATTTTCGCCCAGCTTTATTTTCGCTTCGCTTTTCTGTTCTCTGGGGGCAAATGCAAATGCAACAGTGTAGGGCTAGTGTGGCCAGAGTGCGCGATGTAGCGAAATACCAACGATTGGGCGGGTCATCGGCGGGCAGTGCTAAGAATTGAGAAATTGTTGTGGGATGTCAAAACTGTTCACAATAATGAATAAACTTCACATTTGCCAGAGATATCGATAGGCATCGAAATTAGAGCTGGCCTGGGTGCGACGGAACTGGTTCCGAAAACGTGTTGTTGAAAAGCGGAACTAGTACAAAACTGTGCACAATGTCAGTTTAAATTTAAAACGTGGGAATCCGTTACTGGTTATCTGCTCGTTTAATAAGGTTCGTATACCAAAGTTTGAAAGTTAGTTAAAGAAATTTTCTATTTTAATATACACGTTTAAACAAAAAAGGAAGAGAATTTTGACATGCCGATTTTCCTATACATTTTTCTATCGTTCCTAAGGCAGACTTATGATAAAGTCGGTAATAAAACTAAAAATGTCTTTTTGAAATCGTAAAAACATAACTCCAATGAAAAACAGCGAAAACAATTTTTTTTCTGACCTTACTTCTAGTTCGTTTAATACGATTTCCGAATTACGAATATAATTTTTAAAAAAGTCGAATGAGAATAGCTGTCATAGAATAGATCAGAGAACCGTTGACATAGATTCGTTGCTTATCAGCATATACGCAGGCATTATTAATATTTTAAGATTCAAAAAGAAAACTATTGTAGAAGTTATTTTTTCAAAAAATTGTTAAAAAAAAATTAACATGTTCAAAATAAATGATTCTCTTCTCTGAGATAATTAAGATAGTGTTCTTAAGATTGAGACATACACATAAAACACAAGTGGTTTAAATCGTTTGTGACATTTTTTCTGGACTCAAACGCTAACAATGCTATATTTTGGCCAAAATACGAATACATTACAAAAACTCTCGACTAAGTCTACGTTCTATTTAGGAATTGAGGCGACAGGAGCCGCCAGCGGCAGCATCTCCAGCTTATGCGGATCATTGTGATCGCTGACAAAATGCAGAATCTCGAAGCCCACCTCCACCATGATCAGGATTATGATCATCCACTCCAGCCGGATGTGATGGGCATCGTTGAGGTTGTGCGACACCAGTTCGGCCAGCTCCACGCAATGGTTGATCTTCTCGTTCATCACCTTGGTGCGCCGCGAGATGCTGAAGTAGGAGCACACCTGCAGGTACAGGGCCTCCAGTTCCTCGCGATCCCAGTAGAAATCGGGAGCATCCAGCAGATCCGACGACAGGTTGATCACATGGCGCAGGGCAAAGAGTTCGCCGGTTTTTCGCAGCATGGCCGCCCGTGAAATTCTCAGTCGGCGGCCGCGCTTCAAATCTTCGGTGAGATGCTCTATGGAGTCTATGTAGCGATCCAGCGTGGCCTCCCAAATGCCCAGCTTTATGGACTGCGCCATCGCATTGGAGAAGGTGTACTTGTAGAGGAAGCTATCCGTATCGGCGGTGACAAAGAACTTGCCATTCTGGAAGAATGCCCGCGACGTGACATTGAAATCGCTGCTCTCCGCGACCAGATCGCCCTCCACATCCACCGCCGTCGATGGAATATAGGTGTACGGCATCACCTCGCTCTCCCCATGCACCAGGGCACTCACATACGATTCCCTTTCGAAGGAGCGCAGGAAGCTCAGCACATTGTTCGTCTCGATGTCGCTGCAGTTCCAAAAGACCACCGAACCCTCACGGAAAAAGAATATCTCGCGCGGTTGCTGGCTGGTCGGATACTTTGCGGCCACAAAGAGCACATTCTGTTCCACATCCAGGTTGTCCGTGGAGAAGAAACGCTTCGTCTCGTACAGATTCTGTTGGCGGAGCGCTATTTGCAGATCCTCCAGGTTGTACTCCTCGGCGGTTGTGTAGCCGCGGGTGTTGAGGAAGCCCAGGGCGGACAGCTCATCGATGGCCAGACGCTTCTTGCGCAGGATCCTGGTGCGAATGGGCGACAGCACGGACTCCAGACGTTCCTCGACTAGCGGCAGAGGTTTCACCGGGCTATGCGATTGTTTCTTCGGTGCTGGAGCAGCGGGAGAGGCGGGATTTGTCGCCGTAGACGTCGAGGTGGCCTCACTGGCCAGCCATCGCCGCCGGTTCATCATCCATTGCGTCTGGAGCTGCTGGCGCGGCATTCGGAGGCCACGCAGCATCAACTGCTCGAATCCCAGGCGAGCTAAGTTCATGGCGTTTCTTTTGACTTATTCTCCAGGAGCAACTAGATGGCCATTTCTGTAAAATCGGTTTGGTAACGTATCGTTTATGGTGGCTATATAATAGCCGGCACGGTGCGTTTCGATTGTTCGTTGTTGTGATTATCGGAAACGATAGGCTCCAGCCGTGATGAGTATGTTATCGAGCTGTTAGCTATTTTCAAATTATTCTATGAATTCTTTGAACGACACTTTTTGTAGTCTTTTTTCTTTAATTTTGTTTTTTTTATAGTTGGGTTAGTTTTTTTTATTTTCCAAATAAGAGTAATTGTTTATCATTTGGAATATGAAAACCATAGTTCCTGAATTCACAGTTGTAAGATCCGAGAAATAAACATTTTTTGTAATTGACTGACTACAAAACAGTTGAATTGCCAGCACTGTGTGTAAGCAGTAAATAGCTAGTTTTTCCAGCCGACCGTCAGCACTGTTCCGATAACGATAGAGAACAGCTGTTCTCCTTGCTCCCATTCGAGACATTTGTACCCCAATTGGGGATAACAAAACCCAGTAACTAGCCAAACATCCAGCACGTGCAGCGCCAAGTTAAGGACGCACTGCATCGGGTGCGAAGAGAAAAGAAGGAAGGAAGCAACGCCGCTGTGCAACAGACTGAAAGCGGAGTAACATGAACGCATTGCGCAACATCTTCACATCGCGAACTCTCAACTATTTGCGCCAGAATGGACAGAACGCGATCCTCAACGCCACCCAGCAGCAGCAGCAGGCTGTGGACGCCGTGCCGCTGTCCACCGATGCCGACCAGCAGCTGAAGGCGCCCCGTCCCGCCCCACTCTCCATACCGCGCTCCATCCTCGATGCGTGCCAGTTCGCGGTCAAGCCTTTTGACCTGGGACGCACTGCCTCCGGAAGCGGGCAGTCGAACGGCTCCCTGTCGCCGACGACGCTGAAGCGTTTCGGCCGCATGCAACGCCGCATGGAGCTGGTGTACCGCTGCAAGCTGTGCAACACCCGCAACACGAAGACCATCAGCGAGGAGGCCTACTACAGCGGCGTGGTCATCCTGCAGTGCGACGGCTGTGCCGTCGACCACCTCATCAAGGACAACCTGGGACTCTTCACGGGCAGCGACGGCGACAGCAGCATCAGCTCCGGCATCAGTACCAGCAAGAATATCGACCAGGTGCTGGCGGAGCGACATGCCCGCGTCCGCGTCATCAAGGTGAACGAGCACGGCGAGCTGATTTAGGCACTCTAGTCAAGGGGCATCAGAACAGGAGAACCTGGTGCCGTCCGTCAACCTGCGAATCGTGTCCGAGTTGGACACACTCGGCACGGGGGGCACAACATTGCCCCATTACCCAAAACCACAACCCGATTACAAACCGGAATTCCGAAATTCCGAAATTCCGGAATCCCTCATTCTGTCCGACCTCAGCCGGCTGTATATACTACTTGTACTGTAATTGTTGATTGTTTCGGGCCGTGAGTAATGGCTAAAAAGTGATTAAAAGAACGCCCAGTTCGAAAGCTAAAAACACAAATCTCTTTTCCTCTGGACTATCTTATCGGTGTACACAGAAAGAAAACATTAGCATTGATATTTAATGTGTCATTCAATTTGAATCGAAATATTCAGACTTCAAAACATTGTACTAATTTTGTAACTATTATCTTATCTTATCTAAACAAATATTGTATTCTTCTTGTTTAAACATTTGACCTATGTCTTTCGATTCGATATTGGTCTGATTTTCTTACTGTGTACCCATACGCATGCTATATATACTATACGCTGATTAATGTGTTTACCCGAAATTAGAAATCCCATCCAGCCAAAATTCGACGTATCTGGAGAGCCCTAGAATCCAGTAGAAGTCGAGGGGCTTGTTCGCGGGTTGCTAATTGATCGGATCGATCAAAACACAGGCGGGGTGCTAATTATCGCAACGAAAATATAAATTGGCACGCTGCCGGCTTTCCACAACGCAATGGTGAAATGAACCGCAGACTATAATACATATTTTAAAAAACACGCCCCTGTCAAGTGATCGCTTCTATGTATGTATGTCTTTAAAGCCCAAAGCCAACCAGTGTTGTGATGATAATAACCCAGAAAAATATGCCATCGAATGGGTTAACAACAACGGATTCTAGGAGGTGACGGCACGTGCCTAGAACTTCGATGGGGAAGGGTGAATATACCTATATATTCCAAGTGCCTGTATCACACTGAAATTGTAATTTTAATTCTTGTAAATCTTAGTGAGGAATTTTTAATTTCTTTGAAAGCTAGAAAAAATTTAAATTATTAAAAATATAACTAAGCTGTTTGGAAATAAGATAATCCAGAATTTTTTTAAGTATTTAAAACCGCTTAAATAGTATTATGCAATACATAAAATCTGTGAAAATGTGATAAGGATTTAAATCGCTTATCATTTAGAATTTTCAACACATTTAAACAAATTATTTTATATTTAAAATTTTTTTCTAGATAAAAAAAATTGTAAAATTAAAGGTCAGTAGTAAAATGGTTCAGAACTTTAAAATATTTCTATAAACCCCTTCACATAGACTTTGTTTTAAACTTGTTTAATATATTTTTACAAAATTCCAATTAAATCGGAATTCCTAACTAAGCATGACATGGCGCATTTTGTGACGTCAACACAATTAAAAATATATTATTTAAATGGTATAAACAAACAAACGCGGCGATTCATAGTATAACGTCCATCCCAAGCGTCTAGCCTAACTCGCATATAGCTTCCAGACGTGCGACAAAAACGGTAAAGATAATGATAAGACGTCATCGGTTATCTTTGGAGGCAAATTCAAGTGGTAACACTTCTAGAAGTCTTCAAAAGCAGCGTTTTCGAGCGAAAAGCAGCGGATAAATAGATATTAGTTAGGTAAATAAAACTCAGTGGGTTTGTTTGTTTTTTTTTTAGTTTTTATATTATTTAAACCTATTTATTCGAGAATACTTCGAATATGTGTGTGTGTATATTGTATCGTACTAAAATCTCATTTGATATTACTAGGATAAATAAAATTGTGATTTGTTTGTTTTTTCTCTCAGTTAATTTACATGTTACGAAGACGTTGCTTATGGCTAAAAATACTCATTATGCTGCTACTTTGTATTAATCTTTCGTTTTTATCGGATGAGTTTCTCTTTGCTTTTTTTGTAGGTTGTGTTTGTTTCCGTCTGATTCTCCTGGAAGCGCACTTTTGTTACGATTCATCTGATTATTAATCTCCTCTGGCTTTTGTGTTTTTTTTTTTTTTTTTGTCTCCTCGTTGCTGTTAACTATTTCACAATTTGTTTGAATGCTCAACTCACTGCATAGAAATCCAATTCAATCTGCTATCGGCGTGAAGCCTTGATAAGCGGTCTCTTCGTTAATTTCTGTTAATTTCGCACGAGTGAGCAGCAGATCGAAGTCTGCGAAATTGTGCTAAATGAACTTAGGCCTAAATGAAGCTTCACCCAAAACATTGGGCTCTCGTTTCCGTATGCTATATTGCCATGGCGATGGCTAATGTCTGCTGTTAATAGTTAGACGGCCCGCTCGAGTTATATATTTACAGATGGGATTACGAATACGTTTTTAGTTACGATTACAGGACGAAGCGGCGCGATTTTCGAGAATCTAACTCGCCTCGAAGTGTATTACAGATTCAGTCGTTCGAGGACAGTGCGTTTCGGGGTGCCATGGGGCAGTGGCAATTGCCCTACAGCTCCGTCGCGCACTGCACATTACATTTGTGTGTGTGTGTGTGTGTGTGTATGTTCGATTCTCTTTTAGTGGCTTACATTTAATTGTTTGTTAGATGCTTAGTAACTTAGTTATTGCTGTTAATTATCGGCTCGAGTTGCTTGGATTTCTATATTCTGTTCGTCAGTGTCAGTGTCAGTGTAATGGCAAATGGTTGTCTGCACTTTTGCACTTGTAGTTTTTGCATATAAATATATATAGTTAGTATATAGAATACTTTATGAAATACTTAGTTCTGGAATGCTTCGGCTTGCTCACATCGATTTACGGGGACGGGGAGGAATGTTTGCAATTCTTACATGGTTAACTACGTTCTTTGTGTTGTGGTTTTGAGGAGAAGAACTCAAAGTTGGCACAGAATTGTTAAGTATTTGTTAATTGTTATAAGTACCGATCAGATCAACCGCTCTCTCTCTCTTTCTTTCCTCTGGACTTTCCTATCTCTTTCTCTGTCTACATTTGAACTTACTCAAGAATCAAAGTGGAAAGTGGAAGGAAATGTTGGCCAGTTTGCTTAAGCCTAAAGTTGCATTCATGGGCGTTGTTAAATACTTTTCGCTTTTAAGTACGACTACAGGTATGTCGGTGCCTATAAAATACAACTAAATTAAGGTTAAATTATGTTAATTTGAAACATATTAGACAAAATAATACAAGAGATACCCTGCTCGCGATTTCGATTCAGACACAATAACAGGTTCGCATTAAAAATTTTGTAAGGAAACACTAGAGGTTTTCACCTTCTCTTCTCTTTTCTATGCTTTGAAAATATTTGTTAGTAAAGTGCTTGGGTTTGCTCACTGAAAACCCTTTAGTTTTAGTTCTGTGACTATAGTACCTTCAAACTCCAACCGAATCGAACGGCGAATAGGGCTGAACATCGAGTGAGTCTTAAACTAATATTAAACGAGCTAACTAAGCTGCCTGGATTGCAATGGCAATTTAAAGACGTTACAGTTACAGTTGCAATTGCAGTTTCAGTTACATTAAACCCTATTTGACATAGCGACCACGCCCGCGGCCACGACCCCGCCCCCGACCGCGGGTTTTGGCCTTGTACCAATCCTTATCCTTATCCTTATCCTTATCCTTGTCCTTGTCCCTCTCCCACTCCCTATCTCACAGACTGCTACGGCCCGAACGTCCGACGGCGCCGACGGCTCCGTTGGGTCGATTGTGGCGACGCTTGTGCAGATAGAGACCGGCAGCCTGGGCGAACGCCGAGCCGCAAATCTGGCAGACGTAGCGCTTGACCTTGTCGTGGATCTGCTTGTGGTTCTGCAGATTCTTTGTCGACTTGAAGGTCTTGCCGCAGATGTCGCATTTGAACTCCTCGTTGCTGTAGTGCTGCTTCAGGTGCTCGAACAGGCTGTTGCGCGCCACAAACGATTTATTGCACTGCGGATAGTCGCATTTGTAGCACCGCTCCCGCTCATCCTGGTGGACAATTCGATGCGCATTCAGGTGGCCCGGCGTGGCGAAACTGCGACGGCATACTTCGCATCCGTACGGCTTGGCAATGTCACTGCCTCCGCCGCTAACTGGATCTTCATCGTCGGCCAGGACTTCGGGTGACTTGGACGCTTGACCTGCCCTTTTTTTCCGGCCACTGCCACTGCCCCTGGACACCTCGCTTTCGGCTCTGGCCTCCTCCTCCTCCGCAACGCCGCTCTCCATGATGCTGTGATTCAGCGCCAGCGAGGGCAGGAACAGCTCCTCGTTGTGACGCCGCAGGTGCTCATCATAGTTGGCCTTCTCCCGGAAGCTGGCCGTGCACAGTTCGCAGTTGAACTTCACCTCGGCCACGCCGCGCAAATGCAATTGCTTGTGGCTGTCGAACTCCTCGGCGTTGTGGAACTGAATGCTGCAAATGTTGCAGTAGCAGCCGCCACCCAAACTGGGCTGGTGGGTGAGCATGTGAAGGTCCAGTTCCCTGAGTGTTTGCACAATCTCCGGACAGTGCGGGCACTTGAACGGCGGTATGTCGTCGTCCATAAAGTGCATCTGGTCGTAGTATATGTAGTTGGCAATGAACTTCTTGCCCAGGCGTTCGCTATTGAGGCGTTCCATCTTCTGCTTGGAGTAATCGAACCGCAGCTGCGAGATGCGCTTCGAGATCTGGATGGTGGTCACGTCGATCAGCTGCTGCAGCTCAATGGCCATCTGGTGGAGTCCCTCGCCCCGCCGCTCCTTGCTGCGGTAGTCGGGATCGAAGCGGTTGTAGAAGCACTGGTACCGCTTCACCATGCTCAACAGCTTGGACGTGGACGTGTCATTCCAAATGGCCGAAAAGCGGCGGCGATAGGAGGTTTCCTGCCGGGGAAAACAAGAGTTATTGATTATCCATCGGACATTGCCACCCCCAACCATCATCTACATCTACTCAACAATTCTGGTGAGGAATTTATGATTAGCAGTTGAGGTAAATAAAATTACTGTGTGAATAATCAGACTTTTCTGCCGAGTACTCACAGTTTTTTTAATTTATAATTTACCTTAAAACCAAGTAGAAAGTCCTTCTGGATATCGAATTTTTAAATTAAAAACATCATATAATGATTTCATAATATATGTATAAAATTAGAAACCTAATACAGAACAAACAAAACTATTTCCAATAAAAAAATAACACAATGTATTACACGACGAGTCTTGTTTTTAAATAAAAATGAAGTAACGTTGCATTTTTAATAGTATTTTCGAACAAGACCTTTATGTAAAAAAGACTTTGGCAACCCAAAAAATGCATTTGA